TATCCCCCCCCCCCCCCCCCAGCTCCTGGTATCACTAGCTCGCTCTCACTCTGACTCACTACGTCGCTCGCACGTTCTCGCCCTCGGGGCCCTTTTACAGCCGGCTACTAAACGGTCCGGCGTTACGTTTTCTAGACTTTGGATTTTACGGCCAGTTCCTGCGTTAAAATCTCCCGCGCACCAACAGGTCACGAAGACGATCGCAATGGGAAAACTGAGATCGATTCTCCGGGCTACGAATTTATGGAACACCGCTACCGTCGCACTCGTCTCGTCGTTACGCCAGCGAGCCATACGCTACCCCCATTCCCACCCTCGCTAACCACCCATCGCTCTCGTTCCATTCTCCAATCATCTCTCTCACACCATCATGGCATAAATAGTCCGCTAAATGCAATGTAAACGCACCTCTGATAATGATTATTTGCACTCGTGGTCTATCGACGAGCCGAGCCGGCAAAATGATACGATGATTTGTACGGGGATGGGGCTCGACCTGTGTACACGAGCAAAAACTTTCAACGGTTTAGTAAATTAAAAAGTATATCGAATCGGCCACTTGTTAGTCGTTTGTTTTATCAATGAGGAATTTTTTTTCTTCAAACGACGACCCTTACCTAATCCGTCTTTTGCTTATCATATCACCTTTACATTGGCCGGCTCCATAAGACTATAATAAAATAATTTTCAAATTCTATCACATTTGACGCGTGGCCTGCCTCGACTCTCGTTTGATCATCTTTGAGGTTCTTCTCAACAAACTTTTGTACTGTTATGCACGGATCAGAGAGAGAGAGAGAGAGAGAGAGAGAGAGAGAGAGAGAAACAAAGATATATAGCATCTCCATTGTTCGTGCATTTGCTTGGGTAATATAATTTCAGAACATATTAGAAGAAAATATCGTCCAATTGATGATTACATTTACATTTCACTGTAAATTACGAAACTACTGGCTGATCTTTGATCCTCTGATATTAAACATAGATTAAGTTATCTGGTAAACATAAATGCTTTTCACACTTTCTACCTAACTTTTATCCTCTCAATCTAATGGTTATGATCATCTGAGTTTCATAATAATAATAACAATAACAACAACAACAACAACAACAATAATAATAATAATAATAATAATAATAATAATAATAATAATCTATAGAATCTCATAGCACAATCAAAGAATCCAGACTGCGGTTATTTATTTTTCTACTTTATTTTTCCTCTATATATTCTAAAATCCACCATAAACCTTAAGTATTACAATAAAACAAATGGCTCCTCATATTTATAACAATTATACTTTTCTTTCTCTCTTTCTTTCATTCCATCAGCTTAAAAATACGGGATGCATTAAATATTTAAAATAGCTGCGCTGAAAGCTTACATTCTTTTTTTCGCGTACCGTTAACTTTTGCAATTACTAATAACCGTATTCATACTCAATGAAGGCTCGTTTGGTTAAAAATATAAGCAATTAACTTAGAATTGCGGCTATTCCAACCAAACTCACTAATAACGATATAGATAGTTGAATGTAAAATTTCCTGATTTTCTACAAGTTTATATTCCAATGTAGATTAAAGTACAAAAAAACGTCTTATAAGAGATAAATTAGATCAAACGTATGCATGAAACGCGTATATTATGCGAAAAAGAAATTTGTTTTTGCAATCATTTCACGCTTGAATTATACCAGCTTTTAATGAGATGGTAAATAATTAATTTTATATTAAACATGAAAAATCAAGCATAAATAAATTAAAACGAACGAAATTGAGTTTTAATGTATAATATTTAACATAAATTAATTACAATTAAATAAAGAAAAAGAAAAAAAGAAAAAGGAACAAAAAAAGTAACCCCGATAATGTGAACATTTAAAAGAAAATGAAAATGGCATTAATGTAATAAAATATAAATTTACGAGACATTTGCAAGTAAAAAGGATATAAGATTTATTGAGGCACTAAAATTAAGTTATTATGACAATGAATACTCTATCATCTTGCGTTTTTAACGTTTTGATTGAAGGAGATTGAAATTTATATTTTTTATAATCATTTACTGTTATGTCTTTATAACATTATAATAATCTTCGACTTCAATAAATTTCATTAATAATTGTTATAAACGAAGTTATAAAAGTGGTGATCGTACTAGGCATAATTATTAAAATTACAATACTTTATTCAATTAATATCGAGGTTAAAAATTAAGAAAATTATAAGGACTTTCAATTTCTCTTTAAGTAGTGCAAGTCTATAGGGTTTTTTTTCCTCCCCTCAATGCAATTGAAAATATTGAGACTCCTTTGTATATCTTATAAGTGATATTTGAGTATTTTTCATCAATGTGCGATATTATTTATATGATTTTATATGATATCGTTTATATGATATTGCTGAAATTTTCGTTTAGTAAATTATATAACTGCTCCATCAAATTAATAATAAAAAAATTTTATGTCTTTTTCGGAAACAAATATTTTTTAACGACATTCACAGAATAAGTTTTGAATTATTTATTTTAAACTCATTTGCTCGAAATTTTGTGCAAATAATCTCAATTTCGTTATCCTTAAAAATACATAAGATGTTGGCAATATATCATGTTTTCCCGAAGCGAAATCTCTTTACAAAATATTATGGGAATGAGACATCGACATTTGCTTATAAAAAAAATCAGCCATTTTTACGAGTCCCAATATATTTGTAAAATCAAGCACATATACGTTTAATTCATGTCATGTAGATAATAAAACTCTGTATATATATATATATATATATATATTTCTCAGATAGAATCTCGCGACACGCATCACACGTATACCGTCGGAACATCAATGAAGTAACAAAATGTAAAAATATGCTCGGAAACACTGTCATTTAAAAAATGAAAATTACGATGGTACTTTGGCAAATTAATAACATTGGTGCATTAAAGCTTTGGGAAAGTTCAAATTCAAAAATTGCACACATACGAAATAATTTTACAGCTTCGTATGAAACGTATCTCCTCGAGAAAAAATTAATAATACTATTAATAATAATATTAATAATAATATTAATAATAATAATAACAATAACAATCATAATAATAATAATAATAATAATAACAATAATAATAACAACAGCAACATTGATAATATAATAATGTTGTAATTGATAATAGCATTTTATACGTGTATTGTTAAGGAAATTGAGGCTTCTACAAAGATATAAATATTGACGGCGCTATATCTTTGATGGAAATATCGTTGACGAAATTCTTGAAAATTACGGCTAATATTCATTTTGAAAGCCTCGTTAAATATCCGATATTTAACAGCTTTCGGACAAATATTGACAGCTATAAAAATCGTTAGATTCTTTCAAGGAGCGCGAATTTTCAGACGACTTGTGAAGCGCGCGCATAGCTAAAATTGAAAATCAATTGAAATCGCAGGCGCAACCACAACCAATACACACTATTATTCCCTATGCTTTGGATGCATTTATAATCCTCCGTTCCCAACAGCAATTATCCGAGGCAAAAAGGACCGAACGAGCCCATCCCCCTCCAATCCCATCCCCCTCCAATCCCATCCCCGCGTCCCTCGCGGCCCACGACAGCAGCGTCCGGCCGTCGGCCAACGAGCTCTTCACCCTCGACAGAATCCGAAAGCTTGGAGGCCCGAACTTGGGTCATCGACTGATCGGGATCGCCTCGTCGATTGACGAGCAAACGAGCAAAATGAAGAAAGCAAGACGGTACTCACTGCGATAGGGTCGGCCCTCCTCAGGCGTGGACCTCTCGGTGTTCTCGGAGCAGGGCGTAGCGCTGGCCTCGCGCTCCTCCTCGGCAGTCTGACTGCCAGCTGCCGCCGGCTGATTCGAGCCGCTGCTCCCGGGTGGTGACCTGCTCGTCGAGTTGGCCGGGCTCTGGGGCGCGAGGTCGGCCGCCTGCGAGGCCACCGACGGGGAGAACATGCTCGACATGCTCGAGAGGGAGCCGAGGCTCGAGAGGCCCGTGGGCACTCCACCGGGGGTCGAGACACCCGCACCCTCGGTCTCGATCTTCAGTCGCTTCTGGGGCGGCGCGAAGGCCGACGGCGCCAGAGGACGGAACGCACTGCTAAACGGCAGCCTATGCTCCAAGGGATGAAGGAACTGGTGCTGCAGATGCAGCATGTGATGCAGCCGATAGTCGAGGGAGGCTGCCGCCTGGCCGAAGGGATTCTGCAGCTCCTTCGTGTCGCCGATCTGCAATGGAATTACGGGGCTCTTTCTTATCACTGGCCTTTAACAATTTTCGCACGGATCGTCTAGGTCGGGTGGGAAGGAGGTCGGGAATCTTCCGTGGCTTTCCTTCGAGGACCATTGCCGATCGTAGGCCTAATTGGAATTGGGAAGAACGTGAGTTGAGATGTTATTGCTTGTGCTCTCGATCGGAGATTGACGAACGAGTAATTCGCGTTTGGTTTGATAATGAGTTGATCACTAATGAGTTTCGTTTCACCACTTACGTATGGTCAAATGACGGAAGGCCGCTATCAATTGGCCGTGGAATCGATGATTATTAAATCAGTAAATTCTTAACGCACAGTAGTGCTAGACGAGGTTCGCTTGAATTTTCCGCCGTACATGCTAATGCAAATACATAGCGATTAGATATATTGGAGAAAAAGTCTATATGATCTGTCCGACGCATATGCTAATCTGTATATTCTGACGATTTGTTTAAAATTTCAGCATTCACGTTACAATGTTGCGTAAAAGAAAAATTCCACTTCAAGTTTTTCCATTTAATAAATTATTGTTGCAAGAATTTATATAGTAGTTGGTAATAAGAGAGACACAGAATGAGCCAGATAGATAGATAGAGAGAGAGAGAGAGAGAGAGAAGAGATAAGAGAACAGAAATTCCACAACTTAAATTATACAGGACTCTGAAGTTACTGTTCTTACAGCAAATATGTTCTTTCTCAAAATTGTATAATCGATGTTTGCCCAAAGACCAGATCTGCTAACACAAAAAGACTTTATTTTCCTTTCCCTGTACGCAATTCTAACAAAAACTTACTTTTGATTTTCAAGAAATTTCATCTCATTTATCCGCTTAGCTTCCTCTAAACATTAAAAATACTCTAAAACTACCTGAATTATTTACTTTTACAGATTAGAAGTCAATTTACATTCTTTTAATAATGTTTATTCGAATATTTCGCATTGCTTTGATTTTCAATAAAAACTAAAGGAATTCTTTTCAAATTACTTTATTATCTACGATAGTTTCTTTCGAATTTTATGCACTTTTTAAAAAATTACATAAATATTTTGCACAACTTCCATTTTTTTAATTTTGACGAACGATTTTACCTTGGCGAAATAATTATAATGGTAATAGTTGTTACATTTTCAGAAAAATATTAATCAAATGTATTTATTTTAGCAATTATTCTAATAGCCTGTTGTTTTAATTTTCATTGTTATAATATTTACGTTTTCCTACCCACATTCTCTATGACCAAATTCCAACTACACATATGCCTACATATATACATCAAAACATATATGCACTTATGCATTTACGTATGTATGTTTGTATGCACGCGAATATATTTGTAATGTGTAATTTATGATGATATCTAATAGGTGACTCTAAATGATATGAAACTTAAATTATTTCTCACATTGAAGAATGGAGAATGTTTCATTCTATCCTCCATTTATATGAGAAATTATTTCTTCATCGTTAAGAAAGCAGCAAGTTTTTAAATATATAGGTGGATTGTTAAAATTAAAATTCATGTAAATTCAATAGAGTGACTAGAGTGACACTTTTCAAAAGGTAAAACTAGTGAAATATTCACGCGACCGTCAAAACTTTAATACGCCATTTCAATAACAATTATTTACAGTAAATCAAGAGTTTTAATATTAAACAAACGGATAAAAAAAGGCGAATGTAAATGTAATTAGTGATGTGAATTTCATTTTTCTCTCCAACGTCCTGACCAAAACACACATCTTTTAACGCGCACATTTTTTAAAGAATTCTTTTCCACTTAGCACACACAAATCTTTTTCAAATGCTCATTATTGTTATGCTCGTTGCATTACGCATGCATGTAATTAAAAATTCTTTATTCTTTATTTGTATTGTATTTATTCTCTAATTGTATTGTATAATTTGTTTATTGATAAATCATCGAGTCAACGAGCGAGCCAATGAACTAAAATGAATTGTAGTCTTTTTCTATTTCACTTGGGACGCAATTAAATCGCGTTGTGTATTAATTCGAATTACTATTAATTAATGAAATAGGAATTAATAAATTACACAATAATCCGGTACTTATCGATCGGTTATATATTTTATCTATAAAATTTTTAATCGAGATCTAATTTGTTATGTGCTTTCGCGTTTCGTTCCTCATTTACGTGCACTGTCAATGAATAATATCACACATATTTATTTCTTCACTTTCCATCCAATTCCAAAGATAATTGTTTAAAAGAAATTTTCACAACACGCTTTACTAAATTTTACATATTAACTTTCTGCACTCTAAGCACTTAAAATTATTTTAATAGTTTTTAACGTCATGTTTAACATAATTTATCGTGAAATTTCTAATAGTATGTAAAAGATTTTCTACTTCAAATATAATTTACAACTTATAAGAGTACACGTGTATTTGTTTATACATACGTAAACACAAAGTTTGTAAGTATTTTTTTTTCTTTCTTTCATTGTTGTTTTATAGACAAACACTTATATGGGCGCTTGATTGAAAAGGATATTTTATAAACTAAAATTATGTGAATAAGATTTCTAACAAAACAATTTCAAGCATGTTAAACGATCGTTAGCCGATTGGGAAAGTTAATTAATATTAAACTTAGGTTTTACAAGCGAGCCAAGGAAGTATAAAATTTGTGATATCTCAAGATGATTGACGTTACAAACTGGAAACCTGTAAATCACAAAATAATTACAACGACTCTATCTGCGCGGAAAATAGAAAGATTTTATTAGAGAATTAAGGAAGTCCTGAAAAGAAATTTGACAAATTGATTCCATAATTAAGAATGTTAAGCGTTCAATTCCGTTCATTAAAAAAATTTTCCAAAATTTTTAATCTAATATCCTATCTTATTTAATCGGCAAACGTCGAGTTACACTTTCACGATAATAGTAAAGAAATTTCTTGTTTGTTGAATTTCATCGGATCTCGATTGCGAATTAGTCTTTGTGTGTGTGTGTGTGTGTGTATATATATATATATATATATATATAGACAACGAAAGATATATTTGTAAATTACATCTTAATTTTTCGGATTCATTTTTGAAAAGGGATACCTTTTACATTTCACACGAAACAAATGTTCATTCGGTGCGTAATATACATATTTTGTAGCTCATAAATCACCGTACCTTGAGGAATGACTCATAAAATGTTAAAAAAAAAAAAGTTGAGCTTTTGTTTTATTCTGAGTAAAAAATTCCATGTTTTATAACTGTTTTTAAATTTAAAGAATATACATAAATAATGCTCAAATGTGATAAATTTTTTATGAGGCGTATTTCACAAGTAGGTGCAATGGGGACTACAAAGTTACTGTACGCATCTTTACTTCAGCCAGGAGAAATTATGCTTTCGGCTTCAGAATATAAGTATTATAAGCTCTTTTCATTCAGCTAATAAAAACTGTTTATGAAATGCCTTATACTACCGTAATCATTATAGCTCTACAAGAGCGCGTAAATAAATAATACAATTTTATTAGTGTAAAAATTTATAGGATAATACATTCGTAATATAAAAATTCGAAATTCATGCATTAGAAGATAAATATTAAGAGAAATTTCGTTTGAATGTTTTTCAATGGCTCGAGGAAGCTTATATAAGTTGCTCGAAGAACAACAAAATAACGATAACTCTTAAGCTCGTTATTATTTGTAAGGATAAATTAATAGAAAATCTCTTACACACACGCGCTCGTGCACTATCTCTCTCTCTCTCTCTCTCTCTCTCTCGATCTTTATCTATCTATCTCCCTCTACATGTATCTACATACATATATATATATATATATATATATATATATATATATATACCTAAGTTTAACGTTAAAGCAATCGGTTGACCGGTCCATTAGGTTTCAAGATCCTTATAATGTAACGGCCTAAATGTTTGGAATGCATCGCAAATATGGCGATGAAATTTTGAAATTGGGGTAGCAAAGTGACATTTCTCGACGCTCGCTAAAACGGATTTTTTTTTTCTTTTTCATTGATAATCAATCAACCATTTGTCTCTGCTCACGTTCTATTCACGATGCACGGAATTTCCTAGACAATTATAACAATGTGCCATATCGCAGAGAGTGCTTTCGAGTTCGCAAACTCAAGTCGAATATGCAAGTATACGAGCTCCAAGGACAATAGTCACAAATTTTCTCGCTACTTTTCTCCCTTATCTCGTAATGGGGAGAAGGCGACGATTTAGGAGGACAAGGAAGCGGATAAATTATCTGCCGAAAAGAGGAGAGTAATAATGCGCAATGGCAGAGGAGGGATGTAAAACGGTTACGTTATACACTTGAGGTCAGGAACATGTTGAAAATTTTTCCGTCGATGTCAAATGGATGTGAAAGCGATGTATTTGCTTGGAAAATCTCATCGTTAGAGCAAAAAAGCGAATGCGACGAAAAGGATGTCTCATGGGATATGGACATGGATGCGCAACGAGCCGTAATTGTAATGCAAAGGTGTCGCATTACGAAATAAATGACAGAGTATTTAAAAGGAAAAAGCGAAGGAAAGATGATGATAATGATGATGATGATGAGGAAGAGGAAGAGGAGGAGGAGGAGGAGGAGGAGGAGGAGGAACGAGAATGTATGAGACAGAGGGTGAGTACGAGGGTGACGAGGGAGCAGGTGAAGGAGTTGGAGGAGGTGGTGGTGGTGGTGGTGGTGATGATGGTGGTGATGGTGGTGGTGGTGGTGGTTGTGGTGGTGGTTGTGGTGGTTGTGGTGATGGTGGTGTAGTATTGTAGTGATGTAGTAGATGGTGGTGGTGGTGTCGTATTGTAGTGATGTAGTAGGTGGTGGTGGTGGTGTCGTATTGTAGTGATGTAGTAGGTGGTGGTGGTGGTGGTGGTGGTGATGGTGTAGTGGGTGGCGGTGGTGACGGTGGCGACGGTGGTAGTGGCGGTGGTAGCTGAGGGGTAGGGCGGCAGAGTTATAGGGGGATGGGGTACGGGAGAGGCGGAAGCAGTCGTCGGGCGTTGGACGACGGCTCGCTTGCACATGGAGCATTTAAGTGAAGCGCGATCCTTGGCAAGTGTATCACATGTCGTAAGGTCGGTTGGGTTGCCTCGCGCTCTCCACTTCCATCCAAACACACGAATTACAAATCCGCGTATCACTAGGGTCGCGCGAGTACCGCCGCCGCGCATGCAACAGGCGCCCGGCGTATACCCTCGTCCCGGTCGTATACTAACTTGCGGATTGAAGGGTCTTTGCATTCTGAGGGCGGCCTCGGAGAAGCCCCCGGCCTGGGAGAACACGACCAGGGGCGGCGGCAGCTGGTTGGGCACGTAGGCCGAATTATCCATGCTGGTGTCCGGGTCGCGGCTCGCGCGCGACTCTGCCGGGAGGCGGCGAGGCGTATTCAAACGGTTGGCGCGTCCGCCGGCGCACCTAACCTATAATCAGGCGCGGAAGTCGGCGCGTGCAGCGTACACGGCAAGTTAGCGAGCGGCTAATCGGTGACGGATGCCACGGATACTACGGCGCGGCTGCTCGCTCAGATGCTCCGGGCCTCGGTCATGCTCGTCCTGGGACTGAGAAGCGAGGACGGCATCGCGCTCGCGGCTATGCGGGCCCCGAATCGCTGCGATATCAGCCGGCCGACCTAACCTCTCCGGGAGTGCGCGTCGCGCTCCGGAGGAGCCTCCGCGGGCGAGGTCCGGGTGGCCGTCGGGGTTGGCTCGAGGATGCCGGCTGCCCGCCCGAGCTGCCTCGGGAACATGCGAGTGCAGACTGAAACGTGCGAGAGGAGTGAGGGTACTTACCCGTCGGCTCAGCGGCTAACGGCGAGGAGGTGGTGGAGGTGGTGGCGGTCCGTGGCTCCTGCCCCCTGCCCTGCCTGCGGCCTGCTGTTGGCGCGACTTGGACTCCCGGCCGCGGTGGCGCCACCTCCGGGACATCCTACCCGGCTCCCCCTACCGCGCGTAAACGCCGAGCCGTCCACACCCCCACCCCGTCACGCTCTTACTCACTCGCGCACCCACGATCGCGATTATCCTCCGCGGTCTTACCCGGCTGGCTGCCTGCTCAATTCCTCCTCTCGCGGATCCTCCACACGTGCGGCCGCGCAAGCGCCTCGAAACGACGAGCGAATGAGTGAGAGAGCGAGAGCAAGTAACAGTCGCTCTCCTTCTTTCTCGGTGCGCACGCGTGCGGACACGCGAGTCGACGCCTGCTTATGTGCATTGCTTTAAATTGTGCGCGAGGTGGTGCTTGCTCGGTCGCGTAGCTCCAAGCTTTTATCTTCATGAAGGAATATAATGGATTTGATGCTTTTTTGTTTGCGGAGACGGATAGAGGCTGTAATGATTGACACTCGGCTTCGTGCTTTCTTTAATATCTTATTATTCGCATGTGGTACATGGTTCTCGTGACGTTGTATAATATAGTATTGTAATTACAAATAGAGTAATTGGCTGTTGAGATATTATCGAGGTTTATTGTTTAATAATGCGTTGACCATTCGTTAAGGAATATCCTTCGAATCCTGTTAAATGGCGAGCGATCGTTCCGTTATCGTAGCGTTGTAGCGACATCGACTGTTGCGATTTGTCTCCCCGCGCACCGCACCCCATCGCAATTATAAAAGTCAAATCTAATTTTTTGCGTTCCCAGCTTTCTTTATCTGGGCTCGCTTAAAAAAATTAATATTATCAGGTGGGACGTGCGCTACGCGAAGGAGAAATAATAACGAGGATAATAAGATTTGCTTCCAAGTCGTCAGCTCGCGTTCGCGATTCGCGATTGTTTGATTGTTGAGTGTTTCGCGCGCGATACATCATTACTATGTTTTTGCTTAATTTTTTCTTTTATTTTTTAAAAATGAATATATGCAAAATATTTACATATTCAGCATGAAGGAAGGACACGAACAATTGATTAAAAAATTTCTTAGTGAAATTCTAAATGTATAACCAGACGGAACGATTGTTGGGATTGGCACTTTTCGAATATCTCAATCTCGTATATTTGTTATAGAAAAATAGAAAATAGCCCAACAATAAGGTCTAATTAACTGTTATTACGACTCGTATGATGATTTCTTAAGATTTGAATAGGATATGTACTTAAGCAGTAATGTAATAATTTACAATGTTATTTTACATATTTATAACTGAATTTGAACAAATTTTTTTGGTTTTGATTAAGAAATAGACGAAGGCTTTTCATTTTCATCTTTTTATCATGCATGGGCATTGTGTAGGTAATTATTATCACGTTATTTCGTGAGTTTTAAGAGTACTTTAAAAGTTAATCGATAATTTACATTTTTGAAAATGTTCCCTTCTCGACTCTCTACTCTTTTTCATTTATCTTTTTCCCAATTATCGTATTACAACGTATAATATAAAAACACTAACAAATGCAACGATAGATGCATTAACATTAAATATTTTCATTATGTTTCAGGACGATTGCGTTGTACTATTATTGTATATTCGTAAAACAATATTCGTGATAATTTTTGCTTATTAAAAAATTAAGGTATAATAAACATAATTTTGTATTTGTAAATCGCATTATTTCATTGAGATAAAGAGCATGTAAATGTGGCGATACAAATTTGCGAAACGAAAGGTTTTACATATCATCTTATTGATTTCTTATTTTTTATTTCTTATCGTACATTTTTAAGCATAAAATGTAGGAATTATCAAAAACGAAAAATTAATTAAGTATCTCCATCTATTGGGTGATGCAACAAATGCACAACTACTCTGGCATGCATGTAGGTAAAAACGAGAATTATTAATGTTCGATGATAGAACGTATTTACATGATATTAAATAAAAGGCCTATTCAATTAATAATTTACGTATACTGTATAAGACTAAGCAATGAATCGACATTTTCTTTCTCAGAATCTTCTTTCGAAATAATCTGGATAGATTCATCGCATAAGAAAATTTGTTCGACGAAAATAGTGTCCGAATTAGTTTGATCCGGAACAATATTAATGACTTCTGCTGGAATTTCAATGGCATTCGCTTCCTTCGTCTTCCTAGATTTAGTACGTTTGAATTTTGGTCTGCCATTATGTATCTTCATGTGACGCCTCAGATCATACCTCCCAATAAACTTTGCACTACAAACGTCGCACTCGAATGGCTTCCCATCGCTATGAGTCCACATATGACGACGAAGAGCAGCACTAAATGTAAATGCCATTCCACAAACGGTGCATACATAAGGTTTCTCCCCGGAGTGTAACAAACTGTGATCTCTTAAAGTTGCCTTTTGATTGAAACTTTTTCCACAGACCTCGCATGTGAAACTTCGTGGATTTGTATGGATTTTCTGATGATTCAGAAGATTACCTTGTTGTGAAAATGACTTGTTGCATATGATACAATTGTAAGGTTTTTCTCCGGTATGAACCCTCATATGGGTTGTTAGAGTACGATTGTTCAAAAATCTTCTATTGCATACGTTGCAGGGGTATTTGGGCAAATGCAAACCTTGAGGATCGAGATGAGAAATTAAATGACGCTTGTAATTGCCTTTGTGATTGAATACTCTAGGGCATTGACTACATCTAAACGGTGCTCCTTGACTGTGAGACAAAATGTGCTCTTCCAGTTCACTTTTGACTTTAAAACGTATGCCACATTTAGCACAGCGGTGTCGAGGAAAATCCGTGTGACAGGCCATGTGACGTTTCAGATATCTCTTCATTACATACGATTTATTGCAAAGGAAGCAGGAATAAGGAGTTGGACCCTTGTGGATTTTTACGTGTGCCTTCAGATGTTTAATACTATCGCAATCCATTTCGCAAACAACGCAATAAAACGGCCCGGTACTTGGCACGTGTAAATCCACTATGTGGTTTAAAGCTTGCGAAAGTACCGAATAATTTTGCAAACAAAGCGTGCATTGATATTGTACCACTTTTCCATCATCTTTGATCTCTTTAACTTTTGTTATCGTGTCGTTAATACTACCAACGATGTATTCCTTCGAATCTACATAAAAGTCAGAGTCATCGCTATCGTTATCCTCTTGCTTATTAATACCTAAATTAGAACTATTGTAAATTTGGTTTTTTACGCTCGATTCATCGTCGACTTTAGAATTTTCATTAAGGCTTGAACCATTGGCTCCAACATGCTTTCCATTTTCTACTCTTTTATTATCAGCGAGTAACGTAAGAGGCTGCTGGAACTCATAATTACACCGATCTTCAATGAATTTGGATTCGTTAGTACTACTAATCTCTTCAATGAATTTGGCTTCGTTAGTACTACTAATTGTATTAAATTCATTCGAATGAAATACAACGTGTATTTCATTATTCAGATTTGTATCAGTTAAGGTCTCTTCTACCTTTACAATAATGTCTTCGCTTATCTTGTCCGCATCGTTTATAATATCATCTTTCTCTTCTTTCAATTCTACATTTATAATATTGTCGTCTCCATTAGCGCACAAATTGCTTTTCTGCTCTCGAACATAATTGCAGTCTTCTTGTAACAACATTTTTGAGTCCATATAGCCCATTTTGCTCATTTTTTCATCAACTTCGTCATCCTGAAAAAGAAAAAATTAATATTAAAGTAATACAACAACTTCAAATTAATGCACACATGCGCACACATACAACACGCGCGCGCACACCCGCGCACCCATGCATATATGTATATACGTATATAGTTAAAGTTATTCAATACTTTTTCGTCAGAGATTAGTTGTTCGTTAAACATATGCCTTAGTTTTTTATCCGACTCTTGAACCAAATATTTAAATTCAAAGAATGCATTTGTCCTGTAAGCACATTTGGCACAAAGTTTTGTTGGCAAGCCATCACATTTGTTTACCTAATAACATTAATTACACAAATTTAGTATATCGTAAGTTATTACAAGTCTGAAATATTAAAGCCACACAATAGGAAAAAGCTAACCTGAATTGAAGTCAATTCAGCAAGTTTACTTGGTAAATCATTATCATTAATTTCATCATCGTCGTACAAGGGAAGTAAAACACCTTCAACTTCCATACATGCTCGACACATATCTGCCCAACTAATTTCCCAATTCATTTTATTACTAACTGGCAGCTTCTATCTTATGTTCTATCATACAGGAAACAGAGAGATGAAAAAATTCGAAATTTTTACACAAATAAAATTTAAAGATACATCATTCTCCATAAAACATGTAAACTGACCCTATAAAATATAAATATGAGTAACCTGTTGTTATTTTATCTAAAGATCATCTGCTTTTACATTATATATATAGTAGATACTGAGAAAAATATGACATTACGCGCTTTTGTATACATACATGTGAATATCGCCTGTTTATATCGCGCAATAGTAGAAATCGTTATTATCAACAGAAATCACGATTACCGACCGTATCGACAATATATTTTGACAGGATGGTGGCGGGCTCTAACGATAATCATAGCAAACTAATAGGCATTGTCGCACTGAGATCTTTAGTCTAGATATGCACATATCTCTCTCTCTCTCTCTCTCTCTCTCTCTCTCTCTGTGCCTGTGTGTGCGTGTATGTAGGCACGCATAATTATAATATATATATATATTGCCGAATATTCGGGTCGAATGGCAATCCTCATCAACATTTTTCCACGTTCAAGTTGTATAAAAGTCCCATGAGAATTTTAAAATATCCACACAATTTTCACTTACGCTACGCTATAAAGCATCTTTTTTTTTTTCAACAAAGTTATTATTTATTTGTAAATTTGGCTTTCATACTTTTTAACAAAGATTTTTAGCCTTTGAAATCTTAAAATTCCCATTATGAAGTTTTACTAACGACGTGATATAATTGCCGTTGATTAATACTTTTAGCAATATTTCATTATTTAATAACTAATCTGCACCTTTATAGTCCAAATTTTCCGAAAATTTTCTCATTGTGCAAACACATATTACAAACAATATCAATAAAAAAATGGAATAAATCCTAAAAAATATTTCGTTTACTAGCAATACTTACGGGAGATGTAGTGAGAATATTCGCCAATTGGAATGTTTAATATATAATTAAAGGATAATTATTATGACAGACATATCGTGACACAAATACTCGCTTTTACAATCAATATTATCAATAAAAGCGATAAATAACAAAAAGCGTAAAAGTAAGGACTGCGTAAAATGTTTGTTAAGCAAAATTTGCAAAGGATGTGGGATGGCTGTGCAATGGCTAAAACGAATTAGAGAAATCAATGTAGAGACATTTATTTGTCAGTGAGAAATTAAAAAATGAATGGGAGAAACGAATGTGGGTGATTGTAAGGGGAAAAGGAACATCGAAGCTGGAAATCGTGAATTGCCAGTAGCTAAGGAGGAAATTCATACAATAAATAAACACACTACACAAAACAGTAATTTAATTTGGCACGTATCCCCCCCCCCCCGTCTCCTCATCCACAAAAGCACGCACGCACGCATTCTCTCTCCCACTCCCTATTTAATACTTACAGAAAGAAACATACATCTTATTTTCAAATTTTCAGATATCACGCAATCCAATAACTGTCCCTTTAGTGGGTGCAGAATTATTAACAAATTGTTATTTATTCATAAATGTATAAATGTATTCGCGATGCTTTCTTCTACGTTATTAAAGCAACGAACAACATAATGAAATTGATTTATCTTTGTTTTAACATATATCTTATTGTGAAAATACGAAATCCTTTCAAATTTTTATATAAATATAGAGATTTCTATATAAATATAATTTAAAAATAATTTCATATATTCTAAATAAATGGATAATAATTTTGAAAAGTGTCAAGGCATACTCGTAATATTTTTAGTTTTATACGTTATATTAAATTTGAGTAGCATTATTATAATCTTGTCATTTATAAATGGTATATATAGGTGGCTTTTATATCATTTCCACTCTTTCTTATTAAAGTAATAAATTTATTATTTCGAGATTTTTTAATATTGCATGAGAATTTTCAACATTTATACTAAAGTATCAAAGGTTTGGGATATCGATCCTTTATATACCTTATGCTTACCATACTTTACTACATTATTTTGTCCAATACAAGTAATTCTGCAAAAACTAAACGAAAGAATGAGGTAGAGTTTTGAAATACTCGTTACTTTGGGAGAATTTCATTTTTGATATTGACGCTACAATTGTCAAAGTCCGCTATACTTTTTCCTGTATATAACTTTGTATTACTTTAACGATAAAGTCTTTCGTCTAATATACATTGCTTAATATGACTTTCCGGAACTTTGTTGAATTTGATGAAACTCTATAAATTGCCGAAATGAATAAGGTTTATCGAAATTTGATATATCTCTGATAAGTTTATATATTGTTTAACGTTTAGTAATTCTTGGCCACATGTTAGAAAGTATTTATATTGGTTGTGCAAGCTATTGCAAGAGTTTAATATTCGTAGGCAAGTATTTTGCTGGGAAATCAAATTGTGCGTAATAATCATGTAATTTTTATAAACTCAACGATAAACATAGTTACAACGTATATATCGAATCACTTACGATAATGTCACTGACAATCACAATGATTCTAAATAAATGCGATTCCATTTGTATTTATTATTTAATGGCATTTCTACTTGTAATATCTATAAATACGTTCGCCATGCATTTCTATGTAATTCTTGATATTAGTTATTAGTAACTAAAAAAAAAAAAAAAAAAAAAAAAAAAAAAAAATCGATTATTTAGTATAATAATTTCAGAATATTAGAATATTACAATGGAACCATTAGAATAAACTTGAGGCTTAAGAATAATTTTTATAGGCACAAAATTGTCTTAGGCGTGCTTGACATTCATGTATTCAAAGTACATGTCACATTTACCCCTAGAATATATAAATGTTTATTAAATAGGATTTGATTTATTAATACTCAATTTTCTAAGAAATACATTATATAATCTATCATGAATATATTTTACATCTTAATTTCATAATTAACATATGGAATCGAAGGGGTTTCGGCACGCCACACAAACAGACGAGCCTCCACAGCAAATAAATAAGTTCAACTCCTTCAGATATTTATTAAAGAGACATTAAACTAAGCTATTTGTTACGATAACTGAGATCTCATTTTATCTAACGACAATAGTACGGATGATCGCTTACATCCCTCGTTTCCTTTCACCCGCGCATACTTGCATTACACTACGTTATAGCGAAGATGGACTACTTTCTAAGAAGATCGGATATTACCTCGGCAGTCGCGGTTCTCATTGTCTATTATCGTAACTATAACGTATTACCTTAACAAAGAATCTTACCGAATACTTAGGCTTACAGTCCGACATATAATCAATAATTATTAAATACTTACCATAAGTTAAATTGAAAAATAGAGACGTCAATTGTCGGCTCAGTATAATAATCTATATTTTCCTTTTATTTATCAAATTATGATGATTATTATTATTATTGTTGTTATTATGTCCACATGTATTTTGGACTTTAAATATTTTATTTTACAGTGGTGTAGGTGCGTTTATATGAAGTAGCATGAATAATGAGTAAAAGAAAATTCGTAAATCTCTTGCAAAAGGAAAAGTTTAACATACAATAATGTAGGGACGGGCATGCAAAACGGGAGATACAGAGAGATGAAGCGATAGTGGGAGTGGAATGGAGAGGAGTAGCGAGATAAAAAAGAGAAGAAATGAGAATAGAGGAGGTGCATAGAAGAATGTAATGGGCAAATTTAAAAAATGTCATCCTGAGAAGTTTTGTAATTCTTAAAGTTTTATAGAAAAATGAAATACTAGTAGGTTAATGATAATAACGTTAATATACTAATAAAATATCACATAATCTACATAGTAATGTGAAGCTATATTTTGTTCTTTGTTAAAATTGATATTAATTGTGATGATATTAATCATTAAAGATCTTAGTTGCCCAGAAATTTTTAATAATAAATCGACAAACATATAATCCTTTAATAGGCATCCTTTAATAGTCAATATAATAATTTTCAAAATAGCATTATTGTACATATGTTTATATATATATCGATACAAGTGTCAATAGCAATTGCACACTAGTTGGTAATTAATGGAAAAATTTATCATTTCGTATTTAAATTCCTAGTCGATTAGAAGACACTAAGAAAAAATAAACAATATAATTTAGCGTGATGGTATTAGTTATAAAGCTTGATATTCGATACTCCTACTAATTAAAAGCTTTACGCTCCTTATTTCTTAAGTCATTCTCTGTATTTAAGTGGCGAGTTATCAAGTCCAATGCTGCCACATGACATTTCGTGTATTTTTCCTCTCTCTCTCTCTCTCTCTCTCTCTCTCTCTCTCTCTCCATAGCTCGTACCTACCTCTAAAGAAACTTTGAGCCCATTAGTATGAGTTATGGCAACAGTTTATGGACTGCATTATTTAGACTGTACAAAACAGCCTGTAGAGTATCGTTCAAATTTGTGTCCCGTAATATGGTTAATGTGCTTTTTAAACAAAGCAATTCTCACTTTAGCTCGCGCCTCGTGTTATTTATTGCAAATGTATTGAATGTATGCAAATGAACGAGATTATGAACTGGGCGCTGAATCTGAATAGAAAACTCTTGATTGATAATCGTCGATATGAAGACGTCGCAATAAAGTCTGGTTGTTTAATAATATTGGCAGTGCATATTATTTCAGATTTATAGTATTTCAGAAGAATGTGCTTGAAACTCAACAAATCGACCGATATTCACCTTATTTAGCTATTAAGGATATCATTATTATTGAAAATTACAAATCCATTATGATTAATAGACATATATAACAAACACGCGCGTTCTTACTTTCTTGTTATTTGTTGCCTTTCGAATGTACTAGTGAAATGCGAAATTACGGTATCCAATATTTGATGGTATTTTAAATTTACCTCAAAAGTCAAAAGTTGCTCAAATAAAGTCATGAAAGCTTACTTTAATATCCCAATATATCAACAAATAGAAGTAGTGAATAAACAGGCGCTATAAGATACGCTTTCATTTCATAAAATTTACACATTCACACACACACACACACACACACACACACCAGTAATAGCAGTCATAGCCACGTAGATTCCAATAGTATCATTTCATTT